AATATTTTAGTAATTTTCTAACACGATGACACGATTAATTTTGGTTTCTTTTTATTCTTACCCTCTTCATCTTTCCGTTAATTGTTGTTTTGAAATTTACAAATTGTAAATGTATACGATTTAAATTTGAATAAAAAATGTTATACTCGCAAGTTAAATAATTTCACAATCACCATATTACCCATCGTGTAGTACCTAAATGACCCTCTTCCACACATTTGAAAATAAGTAGCTATACTAATTGAATATCTTGAGTGTTGAGCGATCTCCGATGGTCAACTGTATACGATTTTCTTATGCTAGAAATTGAGAGAACATTTTATTCCTGGTCGATCAAATTAATACCATGAGTATTGTTTTATTAAGCAATATCGATAACAATAAATCTAGACCATGGATAGTATAAGAGACATTAAAAACTTTATGTTCATTTCGAAATAGAAAATAGATTAATATAACATTTTAGAATATAAGAATAGAATTGTACAGTAATTTTTTTATCAATACGTATAGTAAATATGTTTAATTAGGTTATGTGAATTGATAAAAAGCAGAAGTGTAAATAGAGAGGTTTTCTTTGGTGGTTATATAACTCGATCATTACGGGAAATGTATGTGTTATTTTAAGTGTTCCTCAATTCGAGTCTTGTGATTGTGTCTATATGTACGATTTAATACGTACGACAGTAACCAATTAATTTTGGTTAACAATACAACATCAAAATACTTGCCCGTCCTCGGGTTCTAAGGTTTTGTCTTGATCGTCCAGAAAATATTCCTTCCTCCTTCATCACTAGAAAATGGTGTCGTAAGTTTTAACGACGAGTTGTAGTGTTTAGGCTGTCTTTGTTTTTTTTTTTACGCACCTTTCGGTATCTTTATTAATGGAAAGTACGATGACACATGAATAATTTCAAAGGAGTTTAGACATTTTTTATTGATTCACGTCAAAATTGCAATTTACCACGGAAAATCATATAGTTTGCCGTCCAAACTTGGGTGATTAACCCGACGGCCGATTGATTTCGTTCGGTTTCCATTTTAAGCTTAGTTACTGTATTTGATTTTATTCGACAAAAGATTTCAAACCAACACATAGATAGTACTGATTATCAGATATGTCATATTGTTTGCTGTTTTTATAAATTAAAAACGAGTCTTTTTCTTTGTAATTTTAATGATTCTTTTTCCTTGCTATTACATTTCTCTTTTACTATCTAAATTCTACAATACAGATAATTGAATCTGATCAATATAATTATTTTCACATAATGGACAATATTCTTAAATGCAGGAGATTGTTTTAATTTTATTAGGTCAAGGGTGTACATTTTTGATAGATAATTTATGCTTGATAAATTATATGAACATTAACCATGTTAATAATTCTGAATAATATTAACTGATCAAATAATTCGCGTTCAAGCGGTCAAACTATAGATATTAAAGAATTTAATTTTTAAGTTAAACTTAAAAAATAAATAATAAAAAAAAATAATTTTAAAATATGTATAAATAAAAAAATATCGAATAATACGCATCGTATATATGTATGTTACGGGTAATATTAACATTTGGATAATGTCGAAATTATCCGGCTAAAGTTGACATTAGCCATCTGTTATAGCTAATATGTAATTTTTCGTTTATAAACAGGAATTATTAACATTATCTGGATAATGTTAACCTTAACTAGTCAATATTGGATAATGTTAAAAGTTGTATATTAAATAGACTATAGTTTTTATTAGCATTCTATACAATAATAACGCGTCGGACTTCCAGAATATAATATCTTAACTTAACTAACCGAGTTCGTCAGTTATTTTACCGATATAGTGAAAAATTTATCAATATATGGGATTAATATTTATCTTAATTGTATGACATTTTTTGTTATAATTTTATATACACTATACAAAATACGACGTCAAGCATCAATCTGTTATTAGTCTGCTTTCAGTTTTCACACGTGATAATTGCAAACACAGTGTTATTAGTGTTAAACTGCTAAGTGTTTTAGATTACATTTTTAATAAAATGGAAACAAAACTGTAGTTTGATAATTTATTTTAGAATTGTTGTCTGAAAAAAGAGAAGATAATTAGTCTTATTTGTCAAATGTAAAATATTTGAACATAATTAATGAATTGAAAGGCGACAATAAATCTCGTCGTTTGAATAAATTTGAAATTATTAATATCGTAGGAGAAGAGAAACTTATAGCACCTGTTAAAAAAGGTAGTACTAATTTACTATATTACGTAAAAAATGATGATTTATATGACATACTAAGTGAGATACACCTTAATATTGATTATGGTGGTAAACATCGAATAATGGCAGAAATAAAAAAAAAAATTCAAAAATTTGACTAAAGTAGTTGTACTTATGTATATATAATTTATTGTATGTTAAATATATTTAATATTGTTAATAATTTACAATTATTTTATTTCATGTACGTTGAATTTTTATGGTTGTTAAGATATTATCCAAAAGTTCTTGGCTAATATAATATTATCCAGTTAATGTTAACATTAGCCAACATTTAATAATATTCATGGCGGGTAATGATAACAGTTGGCTAATGTCCACTTTAGCCGGATAATGTCGACATTAAACAAATTTTAACATTATCCGTAATATGTATGTATCACAAATTAATTTTTTTAACGGGAAAGTTCGCGAGATTATGAAACTACATAACCGAGATTCAACTAAATAAGGTAACACATAGCTTTAAACTAGACATTAAATAAAATGGTAAGTTATTTGCTAAATAAGAAACATAAGTTTGAGAAAATTAATAAATTATATCATGTGAAGTACAAATAAATCCGATTATGCCGGTAATATCTTGTATTATTACCACTAGATTTGTTTCAGGTCATGTGCATTTTAAGGATTAAATAATATAATCAGGATAAAAATACTCTAAGCATCAAATAATATTTAAATTAATTATAACTGTTATAATGAACCATGTTATTTAATTTAAACTACATTTTTACATAATGTATTTATTATAAATTATTTATGTTGATTAATATTTATCAGAACATGTTAAATTTTATACAGAAGATAACTTTAATCTTTCAAATATTTAACTTAATATAGACTATGAAAAAATGTATAATTATTATAAATATAATATTTTATAAATGTTTCATAATTTAATATCTAAAATTTCAAAATGTATTATTTAAAATTGAACACTCGAAAAAAAAAATTTATATTATTTAAAAAAATTATACGAGAACTAGCAAGGATTGGATAGGTATATTTTGATACAGTTTTTAAAGATTAGTTGCTTGAAGGAAAAATTAAAAAAATGCACATATGGACCAAGTATAAACTAAACATTTTTATTTTTAATAGTTATGTCGTTGGCCATATGGAAAATTAGTTTTTTTGCAAAAAGACTAGGCTCTTTGCAATGGGGTAGCCCATTTGCGAACTACTTATTATTTTTCCAAACAGCCTGCTATTTTTCAGGCTCATTGCATACAGACTAACAGCTGTTAGGCCTTTAAAGAACTACTTACTATTTTTTCAAACCGCCTGCTGTTTTTTAGGCTCATTGCATACATACTAATTTCAGTTAGGTCTTTTAAGAACTACAATCATTTTATAGTAAAAACCATTTTAATTATTTTATTTTAAGGGTTATTGATAATAACACAGTTCAAATATGTAACATAAATGTATAACATGTAACATTATTATTTATAACATATTAATTATTAATTTTGTACAGTTGTCGACCATTTAATTACTAGTTTTATTATATATTACTAACAAAAAAAAAAAAAAAATGTAAGATATTAAATTAAATTGAAATATTACAAAAAATATTACATTACAATATTAAATATTATATAAAGTATATAAGTATAGTATATTTTTTTGTCTACAACTTTGCCAATAGTATATTATAAATATCTACTTTTGGAATATTGACTAAAACATAACTTCCAACTCATAAACTGTATTAATACCGTATTTATAAAATCATATTAATCGTGTACATTTAACATTTTTGGTATTTATCTACATTAGTAGATTAAATTAGAACATTACAATCGGCTATTTTATGGATTAAGATACGGATTGACGACGTATACTTAATAATTGATAGAATCTACAAGATAGTAACTAATCAGTAGATTAGATTATAACTTTTCACCGTACATATTTTTGTCGGCATACTGTAGGTAGGTGGATACTATACATTAGTAAACCGTGTATATTTCAACATATGCGTTAATACTTACGAGTGCGTAATATGGAAAATATAACAGTAATGAACAAATTTAACAATGAAGTTACTAATTATTATAAAAATAAAACGAACGCAGTTAAATAACCATGGACAATAGCTACAATATCTGATGCTGTTTCTGAAATAGCAGCTTCTAAAATACCAGGAACCAAAAAAAAAAAATAGTAAGCAATATAGACTTATTAAAAAATATGATATTATGGAAGTGGGTGATTGAAAGTATTTGGTAAAAAAAAGAAAAAAACATGAAGTGGCAATTGTTCAATTAATACCACGCGAGAATTTTTTTGAAATCTTAAATATGATTCACAAAAATATTGGACATGGAGGTCATGATAAAATGATGTATGCTCTAAAAGATAAATATTGTATTCCAAAACCTGTTGTTCTGATATTTTGTAAGTTGTGCAATATTTGTAATTTAAAAAAATTTCAACAGCATAAAAACATTGTTGTAAAACCTATATTATCCAAAGATTTTAATGTTCGTGGACAAGTTGATTTGATTAATTTTCAATCGACACCAAGTGGTAGTTTTAAATGGTTTTTAAACTACCAAGATCACGCTATAAAATATTGTCATTTACGTCCATTACAATCAAAAAGAGCTTCAGAAGTAGCATTAGAGTTTCTTAAGATATTTTTACAATTTGGAGCGCCTTATATATTATAGAGTGATAACGGTCGAGAATTTACTGCAACTGTAATAGAGGAAATGACAAACTTGTGGCCTGAGTGTAAAATTATTCATGGAAAGCCTCGTTACTCGCAATCTCAAGGAAGTGTAGAGCGCTGTAATCAAGACGTAGAAAATATGTTGAGGGCATGGATGATAAACAATCAAAACACAGATTGGGGAATGGGGTGTTATTTTGTACAATGGCAAAAAAAATTGCTCAAAACATCGAATAATTAATAGAAGCCTTTATAAAGCATTATTTGGAAGTGAACCAAAAATAGGACTTTCAAGCAAAAATTTACCTAATAATATCTTACAATCGATTACAACAGAAGAAGATTCAAATGAGTTAATTAATAATGAAGTAAGTGATGAAGTAGATAGTCACGAAGAAGAAGATAATGAAAAAGATAACGAAAAAACTAACGAAAAGGATAATAATATATATGACTGTAAAAAGTGCATTTCTAAAGTGTCTATTATAAACAAAGAATATTTGTGCGACACATGTGTAAAAGAAAAACAAATTCAGAAAGAAAGAGTAGAAGCTTTTGAAGGACAAAAAAAAGCTGCAGAAAAAATGATACAAGCTAGTGGTAAGAAATTAGTTATAATTGAAGTTGGGAGTTATGTTTTAGTTAATATTCCAAAAGTAGATCGTGGACCATTAGACACACAAAATATAATTGGCAAAGTTGTAGACAAAAAAAAATATACTATACTTATATACTTTATATAATATTTAATATTGTAATGTAATATTTTTTGTAATATTTCAATTTAATTTAATATCTTACATTTTTTTTTTTTTTTTTTTTGTTAGTAATATATAATAAAACTAGTAATTCAATGGTCGACAACTGTACCAAATTAATAAGTAATAAGTAATAAATAATAATGTTACATGTTATACATTTATGTTACATATTTGTACTATGTTATTATCAATAACTCTTAAAATAAAATAATTAAAATGGTTTTTACTATAAAATGATTGTAGTTCTTAAAAGGCCTAACTGAAATCAGTATGTATGCAATAAGCCTAAAAAACAGCAGGCTATTTGAAAAAATAGTAAGTAATTCTTAAAAGGCCTAACAGCTGTTAGTCTGTATGCAATGAGCCTGAAAAACAGCAGGCTGTTTTGAAAAATAATAAGTAGTTCGCAAATGGGTTACCCCATTGCAAAGAGCCTAGTCTTTTTGCAAAAAAACTAATTTTCCATATGGCCTACGACAGTTAGATATAATGGTGGTAAATATAATAGCAATATTTCGTTGACAGAAATAATTGATACGATGAAGAAATGAATTCATCTTGTGTCAGTTGCCGAAACAGTTAGTTTAACTGTTCTACGTAATCATAAAGTAATTGATAAGTTCAATTTATGTTGAAATGTTGTTGATCGTTTTTCTAAAATAAGTAAAATGGGTTGTCGTGAGTAATTGTACACAGTGATGAATCTTTTTCCAAAGAAAAAACTAAAATAAAACAATGAAATATTGCGATTTGGAGACAGCTTTTAGACACTAAAATTAACAAGAATCTTAACAAAGAGAACAATACATACCATTCCAGTAAAAGCAATATACTCTTATAACAGTTGGAGTGTTTAGTTTATAAGTTTTTGTTGTGAAAAAGTTTTAAAAATGTCTAAATATTGTTATAGATTGAACTGTTTACTATTGAATACGAGTTGACTAAATAACCTATGGTTAAGTATAACTAAAACGTAAATTATATTGAATAACTGAAAATATTGTCTCTGAAATATGAGCTCTAATGTCGAAAAACACTTTATATGAAAATCATTTTATGTATAATTGTATACATAAATTGTATACTTTGTGTACAATGTATCAACTACTATATTGTATATTGCAATTGTTTATAAAAAATACATTGATCCATCTCAGAAATATTAGACATTTAGATAGATGATATTTTAACTTGAAAATTGCATAGGATATAGTGTTTTATTATTTTATTCAGTAAACCGTATTATTTTGATTCATCAGCAGTATTACACTGAACACATTGAAAATATAAATAAATAAATTTAAAATAAATTTTAGAAAAAGGATTTATAACATTAATCGATTAGTTAAATTAATTTTGACTTATTCTACTTAACTATTTATAAGTATATTATAATTTTTAAAGATAAATTAAAAATAAAAAAAAATAAAAATGAACCATTAGAAAATAAAAATAAAAATATTCCATATCCATTATCAATATTTAAATTATACTTTAAATAGTTGAATGCCAAATTATTTTAATTATTATTCAAATACTTTTTCTGAAATAATAAATACAAATACACAACAAATATGCTACACTCTAACTAAAAATAATTGGTTATTACTACATTAAATTACATGAAATGGGATTTTTAAAAATAATAAATTTTTTAACCATTTAACATTAAAATTATCATCCTTATAATTCGCATGCTTATTGATCACATGTGAAGCTTTAAATGTATAGTATAATGTTGTTTGTGTATTAATAAAAAGCCAACGGAAAATAAATAAAAATATATCTTTGAAATGTTACCATAAGTTTTACGCGAACTTTTCATCCGTGAAATACCCTCTAAAGTAATAATTAAACTCCTCGGAATTTAACCCGAGTAGTTGGAGTTACCCAGTTGAGTTGGTACATTTTTTATGGAACATCGGACGAAGGAGAAAACAAATAATTAAATTCTGTAAAACATAAAATTTTGAATAAAAATGAATCTATTTGAAACAGTCACAAAATTATTTTCTTTAGCATGTATATTTTTAATACGTTAATTTTTGGTTAAAGTGATATTTCATAAAGGTTTTAAAAAGATTAATAAAGATTTATTTGTTGTATCGGATTGTTGTATTTATTTGTTTAACTTATTTATTTACGATCGCTAGGATTTCCTGAGGATTTTCATTGGGTTATATACTTAAGTCGGATGATGATATGGTGAAGCTTGGTGAAATATTAAGTTTTAATATATACCTAGAATATACAATTATTGTTTTATGAACGTCGAAATTGAGAGAGATTTAAATTTAGGTTTAAGAGTTGTTTATGATCTCAAGTAAAAACAATATTCATTCTTAAAATGCGATATAGAGAGAATGAAAAATAAAACAAAAAAAAAAAAAAAAGTATGCGTTCGAAACTTTTATAAAATAATATTAAAAAAAGGAAATTAACGAAATATATATATAAGGAATAACAATGTTAAAACATAATGGCTACTGATTATGAAAGCAGTGTACTCTTTATTCCTAGAATAATGATGAATAAATTAATCTTCTTAGAAACCATATTGATTATTACGGTACAATTAAATACAAATTATATTTTATTAAATTTTTGATTTATTCAAATGATTGAACAACGGAATATTATAACTGATTCAAATTTCATCATGATTATTTGCCAATGTTGAAACGAATATAATGGACAAATATGGTTCCACGACATTTGATCCGGTAAATAATATCTGGCGACAAATGATCCGCGTCATTAGATCCAGTGCAAAAATATCCTGTACTCAAATTAACCGGGTTAAAAATATCCGATATTTTATAAATAATACAAAATCAAAATTATTAACAGTCAAAAAAAATATATAATTTAAGTATAAATGTAGGTATAATAATTGTAGGATAAATATAATTGTGTTTCTATGATAAATAAATAATATAAAATCAAAATTATTGACAGCCAAAATATAAAATAATTGTTTTTTTATAATAATTATATATAATTTAATGATTTAAAATTGAAATTATGTGCAATACCTTTTAAGTAATTTTATATATCACCTCTTTGATAATTTAATACAAAATTTTCTAGTCGCCTCTTTATATTTTTTTCTTTTTGATGCATGGCTTTCTCCTAAATTAATTGTATCTATTTTAGCTTCCACCAAGTTTTATTCAGTTTTAATAAAATTTATAAATTTCCATATTGTCGTATGATGGACTCCTATGGAAGAATTAAATACATTATGCCACCCCTCTACTGAATTTTTTGTCCTTGGTCGTTTCATTAAAACATTTTCATATAAATTCCATATATTTAATGGAAAAATTGGACTTCTTCTTTTCTTTCGTACAGGACGTCCAATACAAGTGTTCTCGAAGTAATTCAGGAGCGATTGGAAAAGAGATTAATTTTATATTTATTATTCTGACTCTATAAGTTCTTCAAATGCATATACTACATCGTGTACAGGTACAACCACAACTGTTTTACTTGAAGAGCAAATGTTGTATTCAGAATACATTTTTTGTAATTCTAATGATTGTATTTTACACCAAACGTACAAAAAGATCCATTAATTTTTGCATTAGGAAAAATGTCTTTAATTGCTGAAATAAACGCTTGCTCAAAATCAGTTTGTATTGACTTTGGATCAAGATCGGGCTTACATTTCAATAATTAATTAAATACTTCTGTATATGTATCTTTTGTTCTATCAGTCATTAAAACATAAACCGAAATGGTAATACGTATTCGTTTTTATGGCAATGTATAATATGCAAGTGTGAAAAAATAGAAAATAAATTTAAAGGTTCCATCGCCAAACCAACTATCGAATTTTTGAAGGTTAATCAAATTACATTGAGTCAAAAATATTGGAATTCGATTTTCAGTATTTTCATTATGATAAGTTAGAAATAATTCATTTTTTTAGTAAATAATGGACAATTAAATTTTGGTAATTTTATACGCGTTAAAATCGTTTTCAATTAAAATTTAAAAAAGTAAAAAAAAAATGTAATTAATATAATAACATACAAATAATTCAATTCCACTGTTATAAGTGATATACATTAAATTCTTTAAATTTTTTTTTCTTTGTATAAATAATATTGATTTAGCGTGTATGGGAAAAATCGTGGTAACATTTGAAGGTTTATTAACGCTGTATCCGACGCACAAATAATAAAAGTACAATTTATAGTTATAAATTAATATAGGGTGATCACATTAAGAAAATAAAAAAACGGGACAGTTGTTACTTCCCCCCCAAATAAAAAAAACCTCATCCATATACATTCACACATATGCACATAAATCTTGGGAGTTAAAGTCCAAATCTCTGTCATCATAAACAATTATTTTCTTTTTACTTTATCCTATTTTGGTAAAATAATCTAAATAATAAAATATTTCTTTTAATTATTATTAAATTATTAAATTGATAATTTTATAGTTCGTCGGCATCGGGACTTGACGCTCATTCCATGAAAACTTTTATCTGTCGTTTCTAACTTTGGTTTCACATTTTTTTCACAAAACTGTTTTATATTTTTTCATTTTTATTTACAAGCATTAATAACTTATATAATAAAAAATATGGCAATAACGGGATTAAAATGGGACAATCTTCTAAAAATGGGATAAAAAGCGTCCCATTCGAAGTTTGTCGGAACAACGGGACATTATGATCAAAAAAGGGACAATCCCGTTTTAAACGAGACGTCTAGTCACCCTAAATTAATACCTACTGTAAGACTATATTATGGTTTTACAGTATGTGTATCATGTAAAAGAATAATAAATTAAATATGCGGTAAACCATTTTTTTTTTGTCTTATGCCTAATTTTATAACACGCGTGTTATTTCTTAAATACAAGTATTATTCATTCTAATATAAACTGTTTTTACGACTAATTGTATACCAAAATATATACAGCTATATACGTTAAAATTATAATAGTAATTATTATTTTCATTTACCTCTTACATTCAGATAATTATTTATTTTGACTATGGCAAAAAGACTGGCTTCTTTGTTTTACTTAGTTCACAGAGTAAATGTCAAATCAATGAAATACTATACCATACCGGTATATGTATTTCCTCTTCCCCAGGTATATCCGTGAATATGGTTAGTATTATAATGAATGTACGTTCGGTAAACATGATATAAATATATAGATACCTAAATTAAGCGTGGCAGATGATGTTTTATGTAAGCGTTTACTGAAATATTTACCGTAAAATTAACTATGTTTATCCATTGCTGCGTGCAACATTTAGATATTTTGGCAACGTAAAGTATGTACAGGTATCTATAGACACACATAATAATAATATCTTTATGACCTCGTTACAAACGTAAATATTAAAGATTCTAGAGTGTTTTTTTTTTTCGCGAAAAACATCGAAGTTTTAGGTGTATGTATATTGACTCAGTTATACACTAGGTGAAACAATATTGCAATTTATAATACAGAATTATCTTTGTTAAACGGCCATTTTACTGCAATATCCACCGGCACAATAGATTCTGGGAAATCGTTTTCACCTATTTATTTATATTTATTAGTTTGTATGAACACCAAAAATAAAATAAAAACCGTAAATAGTTCACAAAAAGTAATTTATACGAATGTTTATACATTCGTATAAATTGTTTTTTGGTTCGCTGTTATTTATCCTATTGATGTGTTTTGTTCACATAGTTTCATTAAGCATTTGATTCCGAAAGAATTGTTTTATTTATTTTTTTTTTTTTTTTTATATCGCAACCTTCGAGAAATAATGTTTAATTTAAATTTTGTTGATGTAATCGATATATCAGAGGTCCATTAGCCATTGTTTACCGTTGCAGTATTAGTTTTGGTTCACATAACATCACATTGAACCGTGCCTTAGGTGTACATTTTTCATTTCCATTCTCGATTACGTCAAAACGTGCG